TATCAATCGTCTCATTGCTTTGGTCGTGCATTTTTTTTTTTTTTTTTTGCTGCACACAAAACATCGCTGTCAGCATAACAGGTAGCATACAAAACCTGATGGGGGGGGTTGGGGGGGTTAGAAGTGCCATGGCTAGTCAACCTGCCGCAGGCGTTACATGAGACGAGCTGGCCCGGCGCTCTGAAATATGACAGTAACAGCTAAGGTACATCAGTACAGGCCAGCGGCGGCGCCACATGCCAAGGAGCCCGAGGTTTATTGGCTGTTGAACTGCAGGATTATTCATAAGACAGCCAATCGTATTTTTCGAAGCTGCTTCAGGTTTCACTTTAGAGCATTACAGACCAGAGGACCCTGCGACATTTGCCACAAGTGTAACGAAATTTCTGCAAGTCAAGACGGTTCGGTGGAAAGAGGCCACTGTGACTGCTTTGAGCCATAAATCCTGGCAAATTCCCTTCCGTAAGCCTTAAAGTAGCCGCTGACCGGTTCTGTCCAGACACTCGGTTCAATCCCAGATGAGACGCTTCCCCACCAGCAGGAAGTGTGATATCTCTGGGATCTGCCAAGGATGGCCAGTGTAATATGGCATCAGGCGGCTTTAAAGATTCCTTAACCCGCAACACATCACGCCGCTATGAAATGCTAGAACCTTCTACGGTTGAAATGCGGCACCCTGGCTGCTCTCTGCTCGTTCATTTCCGCTGGTATTAGACCTAAACCTGCGCTGCTATGTTTTGGGCTTGATTCCATCTCCAAGAGGCAGTTTTTCATGGTACACCTGTAAACAAAAATGATACCTCATTCGAAGTATGAGGCATTCAGGAGACTTTTTCCACTACGTGCAACAATAATATTGGGTGGATCCATATCAACATCACATATAATATTTGGCTAGGGGCGGGGCCTGAGGGACACTGGCCTCAACAGAAAACTGATTGGTCCCAGGAGTACCGCCCCTTCCTGTCACTCGCGCACGCGAAACACATCATTGGCTAATTGCCCCTGTGTTTGGCCATTCAGCTCCATTGGTTTCCGGCTTTGGTCCAGCATATATTTATATGCATGCGGACCTCACACGCACCCAGGCTTCTGCCTTTACACAGTAACCTAAACAGTCATTCAACCCAAAAAATGCATTTTGTATGAACAGCAGGCAACAGCAGTCGTGAGCCGCACAACACCTGGATCAGGGCTGCATGTTACCACATTGTGATATAACTGCGACTATATGGCGCATGTACAATAATCACAATTTATACAGATTAGTAACTTTTGGGCATCAAGATACGCATCTCATTAAAAATACTTATCTCATCAAAAATACGCACCTCACAAACCTACTAACCTGCTTTCCAAATTGTGGGTGTAATTAAACGTCCGTAAAATACTGAAAAGCTGGCGTCCGGACAAATGTTTACACCTGTCATCTAACGCCCCGGTGATTATTATGCTCGTGCCATATAATCATGATGTGATATCATGCGGCTCTAATCGGGATGCAGTTGCGCTAAGCTACTGAAGGGGGGGGGGGCACTCACAGCACGTCACTGTGAAGGGTGGGGCCAAGATTCGGCTGCCGTTGAATGTAGCTCAACCAATAATAAGGAAGCAGGAGGATACGTTAATTTCACATGGGTACGAGGAAATGAAGTTGTTCTCGCTTTGAAAGGGACCCGAGAAAGCACAGGCGACGGAGGGGGGCAAAATAACGGAAACGATGAATTAATGATGAGCAGTGTCACAGTTCAGCCCTTTGAGCTGCGTCAGGGGACGCTGGACCATTCTTCAAGAAGAAAAGCCTCTGGGTTTTTCATGGGATGAAAAGTTGTGACTTGACACTCTGATCTTGTGAGGGTTCAATGATGTTTATGTCTAGTGAGTGGAAGGGACTTCATGCTGGTGTTCATGAAAGCAGCCCTTGGATTTGTTTAGCAGTGATGCATGGGGCGCGAGCATCACAAAAATCAGGGAACAGCATTTGCTGTCCCATAAAACCGTAGTCATGCATTGGACTTAACCAGCCAGGACAGCTGCTTACACATTTTCCACTACTTAGCAATCACTTTTATCCAAAAAAATGGGGGCTAACTCAAAGAGCCAATGGTGACATCACTTTGCCAACCTTGGGATTTGAACCCACAACCTTCCTATTCTGTTGAGCCGCTCACTTCCTATACTAACCAACACTGCGGGTTGAAGCCTTTTTCAGCCGTAGCCCATCTTAATGGGGGGGGGGGATGATCGATGACTCAGGCCATGTTACTTCTTTCCACTCCTTATGGGTCCAAGTTTTTCCCTTTGGTCTGTATAGCAGGTTATTTGTCCTTGTACACTGAACAGTTTCTGTTGAGACTGGGTAACAGGGTGCGGGTTCAGTTCCAGGGAACTGTACGCTTCTGGTAAGCTGTCAGACACCCGTCCCTGTCAGTGAGACACAACTCACAACATCTTTGCTGATGCAGTGTGTCCATGTTTAGCAGATGTTGTCATGACTTTGTCATGGGCGATATGTATGTTAATGGAAAATACTGCATATCAATCCAAACGACGTGAGCAAGACTTATCTTTAAGTATTCCATCCATCCATCCATCCATCCATCCATCCATCTGTCCATCCATCCATCCATCTGTCCATCCATCCACTTTTCCCAGTCAGGGTCATGGGGTCCAGGTTCATGTGTAAAATTCAGTTACTCACACACAAGGATAAGAAGCGAATATAGTAAGCGGATCACATCCTTGAAAGTCGGTTTTAAAGAAAACTGACAAGGTCACCAGAGGACATCGTTGCTGAGGCATTGCGAAACAGCATGACAGCTCCTTCTTCCTGTCAGGGGCCGGCCGAGGGGCTTCCGCAAGCATCGATATCCCCAAGAGCGGCGTTTACCTGATAGATGTCTGACAGGCTGCTGCTCCCCGAGTCACTGGCGATGCTGCATCCTGATTGGCTGGCCGGGACGTGCATCACCTGCTGGTGCGGGTGATCCGTGAGGTGCATCTTGTTGAGGTCCCCAGGAAGCTACAGAAAGGGGGGGGGGGGTAGCTTATTAATTCAGCACGCCACACCAGAGGTGCCAATTTCAGGTCCAGAAAGTAAAAATCCAGACCATAATTTACTTTCAACCGAGTTGAGCATAAAGAGTCACAATCACAGAGTACTCAACTGGTTGGTTGAAACACAATCATGGTCTGGATTTTTACTTTCTGGACCTGAAATTGTCACCTCTGCGCCACACTCACAATCTACTACCTCAGAAATGAATACATACGACTGGCAGACAGTGCTGTGCCCTGAGAGGGATACCTTGCCGATATAAACGCCATACTTCTCGACTCTTTGAAAGTCTGTTTGCTTTACGGCTGACAAGTGACCTTTGACAGCGAGCAGCCCCTTAAGAGGCCCCTGGCAATCAACCTGAAGCGAAACTGTCGGTTAAGTCTGATCTCTATTACCCCAACCCCCACCCCCCACCACCACCACCACCGGTCCGTCACTGTTGGGTGAGCAGCGAATCGGCACCATTACAGACCCCGCTGACAGTGACAGGCAGATTGTTTTCCATAGAGTTAGAGCTGCCTCTGTGTACGACCACTTAAGCACATCTGCAGGATAAAACACTAAACACCTAATTAAACTCACAGACACACAGACCTCCTTATCTGTGTGCCCAAACCCATCAGTAATCTCACTACATGTAATGATGTAAATACCGGGCAGGGAAATTCTGCACTATTATTTACACACTCCCAGTTGCCCAGAGGTTAAGTCCAGTACCAGATGCTGCTTCTCACTGCTACAGCACAGGACAGTGATCGACTCCGTCGACTTTGATGTCAACTGCTGTGCCTAAAAATTATATGTAAATAGGTTCTCGAGCTAGCTTCCTGCTAAAACCACAACGTCGGCCCTGGTGCACGTCTGCCGCGCCAGGTCATTACGGGGAGTGACTGCGGTGAGGGGCGGCGCGCCGAGAGCCAGCGGGCCGACGTGTCCGAGCTTCTAATAACCGAGCGATTCCAGACAGCTGTGAAATACGGCATGTCACCCATCTCTGGAGAGGGAAGGGGAAATTCCTGCAGCAGGACAGCCACCAGCGCCCTCCCTCATTGGCTGCGCGGGCCATGCGGGGCAGCAGGACAGCCACCAGCGCCCTCCCTCATTGGCTGCGTGGGCCATGCGGGGCAGCAGGACAGCCACCAGCGCCCTCCCTCATTGGCTGCGCGGGCCATGCAGGGCAGCAGGACAGCCACCAGCGCCCTCCCTCATTGGCTGCACGGGCCATGCGGGGCGGCAGGACAGCCACCATCGCCCTCCGTCGTTGGCTGCGCGGGCTATGCGGGGCCCCGACAGACCCCTGCTGGCAGACTTACGACGTGCAATATTTATTATTCCAGTCTCCCCCCCCCCCGCGCCTACAGGTGCTAAATCTGCACCCCCCACACCTCCACCCAAACCTCTAGGCAGACAGCCAGGAGTCTCAAAGCACCACGACCAAGGAATTCCAGGTGAGACTCCCTGTATCGCCCTGAGGCAAATCCTGGTGGAGCTCTGTCAGCACATGTGAGTGCACGCACACGCACACGCACGCACACACTCATATCTTTGTGGGGACCATCCATTCATTCCTATGGGCAAGACCGTAATCCCAACAATGACAACCACAACCCCTACCCAGCTCTAACCGTAACCATAAGTAAGCAAACGAAATACAAGAGGGATTTTTAGTTTTATGTTTGCATTACATTCAGACACACAAAGAGTCCAGCGATAGATTTTAATCTGAGGACGTCCGCTTCTATTAAACTACAATCGATCCTTCACTATGCAAAGCAGTGGACATGAGGCTCCATCCTGCCCACTTAAGACAACCCAGAACGTCAGTGTGGGTCCATGCATATGTTTCGACATTTGGGTACCAGCGATAATTCAAAACTGGATGCCGTCTGGATTGTTCAGACAAATTCCAAGTGCATCTATCAGTGCAAAGTTTTCAATCCAAATGTGATTAAACATTATTGATCCATTTATGATGGTTCAGTTTTCAGGAACAGACACATGGCCCTCGGATATCTATTGCACGTATTGACAGGTGTCCAGGAGGACAGATTAGTCTAGCTAATGCATTCCTGATACTTCAAACTGCAACAGAAACGTCATGGTAACTATCACCTTCAATTATAAATTATACGGTTAAAAATGACATGGCATAACGTGAGAAACGCTCCAGTCCAGGGTGACTAAACGACCACGTGACACGGGAAATGTGAACAGAGAGGAAGTAGCAATTTTATTCAGGAAACGGGGCCGGCACTGGATGAAAGGGAGCGGAGGGGAAGTTAAAAAGAAAAGCCGTCTCATTGTGAATCTGAAAGGAATTTTGACATTGGGCAATTTTTAAGAGCAATTTTTAACAATTTCTGCACAATGGTCTGATGGAGGTTTTAGCGAGAAAAAAAAAAAGGAACCTGCACAGATTCCCGCCGGCACCCCCCCCCTCCCCCAACAAGCCGCCCTATTTAGGACGGGGAGCGGCTCCTGGTCACATGACAAACTAAACATGGCTGACAGCGATTACAGTGTTTTTCCATCATGGCGATGCTCGGAATGACAGAATCTTCCCTCCCATTACCACGTTTAACAGTATTCGTCCCAGAAAAGAATCAAAACAATCACTGGTTGCATATGGAAGATGATACTAGAAAAAAGAAAGCAAATGAAATGGAGTTCATGGTCACATTTTGTATTTGGTACAAAGGAAAATTATCCGTAAGGAATCTTCCGGGGGCGGGGTGACTCTCGACGTACAGGACACCACCGGCACTAAGTCCTCGTTAACTCACTATGCACACACGTTTCCGTGATGAAGGGCCCTTACTACAGCATCCGAGGGTCTCCAACCATCTAAATTATTCACTCCGCCGAATACTCCTCGCTTCGGTACCCACGACAACAACGGGGCCGATCGACACTCATCTCCTGCCGTTCTGCACGCAGCGCCAGCCGGTACGGTTGGGGGGGGACGGGGGATGGGGGGGACCCGGACATACGGCACAGCCCCGGCGTGAACAGCAGGTGGGTCACGTTCGCACAGCAGAGGCGGTGCACCATCGGCCATGTGCCAGGTGCACAGGGATGGGTCTGACCCCTTTAACAAGCCCGGGAGTGTAGACAGTGCACCTTAGGACATTGACCCACATTTAGGTAAAGACCTGCAAACTGCCCCCCACCCACCATTATTGACAACATGTGGCCAAATCATGAAGGTTTCATACAGTATCAGTCAAAAGCCTGGACACACCTGCTTTTAACGCATTGGTCTGTATTTTAGCTAAATTACCCACATTATAGTCAAACACCTCAAGGCAATGAAATAATACATATCAACTATCGCAGTGACCAAGGGAAGTGCTCAACATCTCAATTTTCTCAAATTTTACACTCTTCAAAACAGCCCCCTTTTGCTTCTATGGCAGCGCTGCAGACTCTCAGCATTCATTCACCCAGCTTCCAGATGCAGCCACCTGGGATGCTTCTCCTACAGGCCTGAAGGAGTTTCCACAAGTTCTGGGCACAAGTCCACTACCGTACTCTGACTGTTTGATCCAACTCACCCCAAACTGGCTCTGTAGGGTTCAGGTGGGGGGATTGTGGGGGGGGGCAGGTCATCTGTCACAGCACTCTGTCTCTTTCATTGTTCACAAGATAATACAGTGCTTACATAACCTGGAGGGGCACTTGGGGCCGGTATCTTGTTGAAAAACAAATGATTTTCAGTAGGTGTGTCCAAACTTTTGATCGGTACTATATAATGAATGGTCAACAGCAGCACTGACAGGGAAAATACAAAATGCAACCATGATCTGCACCAATATATAAGCATCGTCTGCTTTGCCTAAATGAGCATACAACCACAGCTAAATAATGAAGTAGGGCAATGAGCATAAAACAGTAATGTAATGTGTAATATCAGTCTTTAAAACTGAAGACAAATGGCTAAATGCAGAATCACGTTGCTTTGAGACACACTGCAAAAGATTCTTTTTATTGGCCAGTTAAACTACCGAGGTCTCATCTGAAAAAGGAAATTAAATCCTCCTACCCCAAGAAAACTTGTCTCCAAGGGGCACGACCCAAGTGTATTATCCAGGGAGAAACCTTCCCGTCACCGGCAGGACTGAAAAGCCAGGCTATGCCTCTGTCTGTCTGCAGCGCCACAAAACCCATTACTTCTGCACCATGACCCAGATGGTAGCGAAGATACCAGCAGCCTGAATCGGCACTGAAACCATCAGACCGCCGAGTGTGTAGGTTCATATCCTGTAAACAAACTGACAGCAGCTTCTCTATGGGAATTAACAGGAAACTCAAAGTGAAGGTCCAGAGCTATCAAGAAGCCTCATATCACCTGCTTTGGTCCCATGGATCAAAGGTTTTTCCCATAAAGACGGTAAAAAAAGACGCACACGGATAATGTACATTAATTCTACTGTAATTCACTCTGGTGTTAAGTGTCACACGGTGTTTCCCTCTATCAAGAATTACACTTTGCCTTTATCAACACTGACTGGGTCCACAAAATACAGGTCACTGCCTTCCACCAGCTTAAAACCACCGACAGGACATTTTCATATCCGGCACGCTGCACTAGATATGCTGCATCAGCTGCGCGCAAACACTCCCGTACACACAAGCGCGAGTTGGTGACACACCAAAGCGGGTGTAAGATCACAAAATAGAGGAGAGGTTTCAAAATGTATAACAGCAAATATGACCTTTGCCAACACTGAACGTTAACGCGACGACTTCTGTTCTGACTAATTTCATAGGTCGAGAGGAAAATGAGTCTGCGGTCGCCTAGACCAATCAGAAAATCATTATCTTAAAAATAGAGAGGAAAGCAGGCCAGAGTGGACGCGCTCCGTCTGACTGTGAGCTTAGATAGACCCATGACTCGAGCCCCGCTTCTGTCCGCTGCTTGAACTTGCCTGAGGCAGACCCCAGGCTCGCCACCAACTTCC